CTGCCTTCTTTTGCTAAAGAGTTTTACTGAAATGCATTGGCAACCATCTCCATCTCCAAAGCTCTCTAGCCTCCTTTTGTGATTGTGATATGCTCACTTTCTGTGCCAAATAGTGGATCAACTGGATTTAAGAAGGGCTGGAACCTTCATGGCTCTCCCAGATGACTTACTTGTTGAGCATTCATTCTGATCTGTTGCACAAAGCTCCCACGAAGGTTAGATTATATCTGGCCTTTATTGAGCACTCATTCTGATTTATTAACAGGGTCATTATGTGACAACAAGCATTCATCCCTATTTGCTCAGGCAGTGTTTAAAATGCCTTCATCCCAAGATTTTCATTGCAGATCCTTTTTTCTTAGTGTTTCCCCCCCTTTTTGTGCTAGTGCAGCCAGAGTGCTTTACTTTAATGGTACAAATTAATGCTCTTGAATCCATCTCACAAAATAATGACATGTTGGATACAATTACTTTTGTTCTTTTTGTTATACCATAAGTTTTCATCTGCTCTTTGTTTTGTTGCTTGTTATGTGCATTTGTTCCAAATATATCATGTTTATATGCTTGAATTATTTTCACACTTTCATATACTGCCCTGGAACCTTCTGATGAAAGGTGATTGAGATACGTATTTAATTACCATCATGATTTTATGTTCTCATTACTTCAGACAGGCAAATAAGATGGCAAATCAAGGCTTTCAATATGGTTTTTCTCATCCAAAATATTGTAAGATTGACATTATTCTGTATCCAATACATATGCTACAGTTCTTCCAGGTTTTCTCTGATGCATAATCCAGCCCTGTTGCTCCATTAATCTGACCTACTGATTTGTGACAATTTTGGGATTTCTTTCATGAATGTTATTCACAAGCCACTCTAATTATGCTGTGAACCACCCTGAGGTCTTCAGATGAAGGGCGTTATACAAATTTTATAAATAGCAATACTAATAATAATTTTAATGTTGATTTTCACATTAGCCACCATGATATTTTTTTTGTCTTATTGTTGGCAGGGTAGGATTTTTTACAAATAACAAAAAAGCTTGTAAAGGAGGGCTTATATAGTTATCAGTTTACTATTAAAAACTAATAATTGTTTTAATAACAACATGATTCTTTCTAATGATTATTAATCATAAGAAATTTTTCACCACAATTCAGGGAACTAAGTTAAGGCAGCTATAGCAATATGTCTGAAACCAAAAAATAACCAATCTAGCGATCACATTTTAAGACGCTTGTAGATTTCTATATTTCTTGCCTCTATATTTTGTATGATTTTGTATTTTAAATGCTAGGTATTTTATTTCATTCTTTTTTCCTTTTTAACTTTTTTTTTATTGCACTGTGATTTTAAATTGTTAGTAACTTCCCTAAGTGGCAGCAGATGGGTGAGAAAGACATCTTTATATAAAATTAATAAATTCATAAAGAAACAGATGACTGGCTAAACATACATCCTCAATTAATTTGGCAACACTTCAAAAAATGTAAAGAGTTGCATCCAACTATGTTTTACCGAGAGTAGACCCAAGGAAATTAATTCACCTAAGTTAGTCGTGTCCAATATTTTAATGGCTCTACTTTGAGTAAGATTAACTTTGAATACAACCCATACACACACACACACACACACACACACACACACCTGTACTTGGAAAAGGCATATTTTCTTAACTCTCACACACAAGGAAGAATGCCTTTTCTAAGATCACGGGAAGTAGATACTTCTTCTGAGATGTTACCTACTACAAGATATCTTCATGCCCACTATCTAAAAGCATGATATTCCACTTCAAAACATTGTTCTAATGATATACGCATTTATACAAATGTAATCAACTAACATGTAAAAATCATATACTCAGTTAAGGGTTTTGGATATTTTTTTTAAAGCCCTAGATTTCACCTCCAAGAGACAAACTTATGGAACCACATGGTTTTAAATTGAATGCTAGGCAAGTGAATCAGTTTACTTTTAAAGAAGTGGTCCATGTGCAGACCTCCAGATCAGTATCTATATGTGAAGGAGCCCTTGTATGGGCCACAGAACACAGCAATGTAGGAAATTACCTCATTTTGAATTAGGCGATTGGTCCATCTAGCTCAGTATTGTCTATACTGGTTGACAGCAACTCCCCAGAGTTCCAGGCAGGACTTATTTCCCAGTCCTACTTGGAGATGCCAGAGATTGATACTGGGGCCTTCTGCATTCAGAGCAGATGCTCTATCCATGAGCTAAGGCCCTTTCTCAATTGAAACACATTGGGAATTTTGGCCACCTGGTCTACCCATTGTGACCAATGAGCTGTAGACCAGGGCTCCAATAGGGCCTTTTGTAACTGTTCATCCAGGTGTAACTGGTCCACAGACCTAGTCTACCCATAGGAAAAAAGGTAAGGTAAAGTGCAAATAGATAAATAGGTACCGCTGTGGCAGGAAGGTAAGCAGCATTTCCATGCACTCTGGCACTTGTCACAGTCCTCTGGGTACCAGAAGCAGTTTAGTCCTGCTGGCCACATGACCCGGAAAGCTGTCTGTGGACAAACGCCGTCTCTCTCAGCCTGAAGCAAGATGACCCCTTAGTTGCCTTTGACAGGACTTAACCATCCAGAGGTCCTTTACCTTTTACCCATGGGAAGAGTGGGCCCTCACCTATGGCAGTCTGGATACACTCTCGCATAAAGAGAACTTCCACCCATTTACAATAATAGATGAAATCCAGGAACTGTTATCTTAACTGACTTGTGGAATATGGAATGAACCATCTAAAAACAGGCAAAAGGAATTGCCTAAAGCCCTCAGCTTTTTACTTCATTCCCCAATGTTCTTTTTTTAGGTTTAACATGTTTCAAAGGAGGGAGGTTTCAAGGTTTCATCTCCCTGTGCTAGGAGCAGCCATACCCACTCAGGTTGAGCTTCGGAAACATTCCAAAGCATCCTTTTAAAAAACAAGGAAAATGTCTACCCCTGGCTGCCTGTTTCTCTCCACCACCCCCTCCCTGCCAGCTGATAAAGAATGAAGAGATTATCCCAAAAATCATTCTGCTTTGCATTTGAAATATTATAATTGCCTCATTACCATAAAGCCTGCTGGTAAGTTATTTTCTTTGTGAGTGGGCTGCTCCCAGTGTTGTTTTCTCTTAAAGGGAATATGGTAAATCCATCAAATTTCATCTTCAGAAGAAGACCCCCCCTCCCTTCTTCTCTCCTTCACATGAGCAGTTCAAAACTATCAAATGCCTCTATGTGACCCTTTTTGAGAAAACAGAATTGGTGCTTCCTTCAAACATAGACCCACCCCTCCCTGGACCAGGGGCAGAGGAAGGGGGTGAGGTGGGTGAAAGCCACCCTGGTGTCACCACTGAGGGGGTGACAAAATGCCAGGTGGCACTGACCGCGGGGCCTGCAGTGCGCCTGAGCCACACATCACTCCTGGGAGAGACACGGTGGCTTAGGTGTACACAGGCTCCCTGCTGACCAAACGGTCCACCCGCTGCCTCTCCCCCAGCTGTAAGGCGGCTGAGTAAGAGGATGCAGGCAGACTCTAGAGACCTTATAGTGCACCTCGCCCCTATGGGCAACTCGCCCTGCTCCTAGGTGCACCACCCCAGGTGCCCAAGTGGCTTCCTCTACCACTGCTCTGGACCACACCACTTGCCTCAGCCAGCCAGTGGCCTTGGTATAGGGATGAGGGAGAATGACATTCCATTCACATCTGAGAGTGAACCAATCAAATTCGCATTTTCCAAAACAGTCCAGGAACCAAAAACACTGACATCCTTTGAAATTCACATGTCTCTGAACTTCACAATGCAGCTCCCCAACCAACGTTTACCCAAAAACTGACTCCTCCTGCATTCCATCTTAGGACTCTTTCTCCCCAGATGCTTATTCTGATGGCTTCATCACCAGTTAGTTGCTCATTCCCCCACCGTACTTTGCTTACTCTCTGTAGACTAATAAAGAGTTAGAACATAAGAAGAGCTCTGCTGGATCAGTCAAAAGGGCCATCTAGTCCAGTATCCTGTTTTCCCAGATGTCCCATTGGGAAACGAGCAAACAGGTCAACAGTGCTCTCCCAACTGCAGTTCACAGCAACTAGTATTCAGAAGCGTATGTCTCCAGCAGTGGATGTAGAGGTAGAACATAGCCTTATCCTTCATTACATAAGGCTATCCATTGGATAAGGCTTTCAGCATTGACCTGGTTAAGAAATAAGAAGAGCCAAAGGGGGCCCATCTAGTCCAGCATCCTGTTGTCACAGGCGCCAACCAGATTTCTCTGGGAAGCCCATAAGCAGGACTGGAGCACAACACCATGTGTGATTCACAGCAATTGGCTTTCAGAGGCATACTGCATCCGATGGTGATGGCAGAACATAGCCATCTGATAACAGTATCCCCTGTGAATCACAACACCATCTCATCAGGAGGTCCTCTCTGCACATTGGTGCCAATTCCCTGGGACCCTGGGGGCCCAAACACCCACAAAAAATCCCATGAAGGGGTAAGGCACCCACAAATTTTGGTGCCAGGGCCTTGTACACTGCATGGCACCCAAGACCCTGGACACCCACAGTCGTAGGGCCAAGTTGGCGCTCCTGATTCTGCATGATGCTGGACTTTGAGTGCAGCAGGCACCGATCCTTTGGAACTGCCTCCCATTACACATCAGGCATGGTGTCTTTTGAAGACCTTCATTTTTTCCAATGAGCCATTTAAGTGGAGATTTTTATCTGCATATATAGAGGACTGGGAAATTATTGTTTTTTATTGCTTTAAATCCTTTTTATATATGGGATTGTTCTTGCTATGTAGATAAATAATAATAATAATAATTCTTATGGCTGAAGCCTTTACTGACAGACAGATGCCAACAACAGACACAGATTTTACAGGAAGTGCTTCATAAATGGAATCAGATAAATACAATTAAGTAAGAGGGTAAGAATGACAACATTGCCCTCCCCCACCAAATAAATGGTACTCACCAGCCTCTCTGACATGGGCGTCTTGTCATCAACTGGTAAGTGTTGCTCCAAGGCCAAGACGATGCAATTAGCAATGATTGTAGCCAAGATCATATATTCAAAAGGAGTGGAAGCAAGAGTTAAAGAAAAAAACTGGTCAACAGAAGTATGCAAGAGAAAATCAGCAATAAACTGGACTCATGTGTATGTGTTTCCAATGCTTTCAAATGCCATTTTCATAGAGTTGTAAAACTGGAAGGGACCCCAAGGGTCATCTAGTCCAACCCCATGCAAATGCAGGAATCTCAACTAAAGCATTCATGACAGGTGGCCATCCAACCACCTCCCAAGGGAGTCCATTCTGCTGACGAACAGCTTTAAAAGCGTATTTTTCGCTCTATAAGACGCACCAGACCACAAGACGCACCTAGTTTTTGGAGGAGGAAAATAAGAAAAAAAAATATTCTGAATCTCAGAAGCCAGAACGGCAAGAGGGATCGCTGCACAGTGAAAGCAGCAATCCCTCTTGCTGTTCTGGCTTCTGGGATAGCTGCGCAGCCTGCATTCGCTCCATAAGACGCACACACATTTCCCCTTTTAGGAGGGAAAAAGTGAGTCTGATAGAGCAAAACATATGGTAACTCATTGGCCTAATCCCGGCACAAACCGTGTAAAGTAGCCTGGCATCATTCTTATCCTCCCTGGGAAAGAGCTGAAGTTAAGAGCAGACAGCTTGTCCAAAAAGGCCACACAACAAGTTCTGCCTTTTGCTGAAATGTGAACCAGCACATATCAGATCATGTTTTGAATCACTACACAACAACAGCCTTGCCAAGCCAGTATAGAAAGCAAAATCTGTGCTGCCTTGTAGCAAAAGGGCCTGACTAAAAGAAAAGGGGGGGGACCCATAGAGAATGGGTCTTAATTCATTTCCAAGCAAGGATTTATGTCAGAGTAGCTTTGTGCCTTTATAGCGAGCGAGCTCCCTTCTCTGCAGCGTGTGTATCACTGGATCCATGCCCAATTCTAGGCCAAGGCCCAGATGGCAGGGAAGTGTTTCAGCAGCACAGCAAGCTCCCCTGGGTACCAGAGACGGCTTGATTTAAACCTTGCACCAGTCACCGCTGTAGGCACACCAGCACACTAGCACACACCCAGCCCTCCTAGATGCTTGTGCTGGAGCAGACTTACCCACCCCCAACCAAAACAGTCCAAATGAAGCTTGCCTTACAGTCACCATGCATTACTAGAGAGCTTCTGAAGTTCCCAATAAGCTTCTGCACCCCACCCCCACCACCAGTGCAATGAAAGAATCTAGCCTTGCAGAAATGCAACACTTGAATTGCCACAAGGCTTTTCTTTGAGGTACATTTATCCCAAGCTTGGCTGCAGCACAGACGCCTTCCAATTCGCCTCTTCCAGCAATCTGGTGGATTCTGTTTGCCCTGTCAATACTTCCCCTGCATGCACACAGTTTCAACTGGGAAGGGGAACAGCTTGCCATGTTGCTAAGGGCAGGTCTGGTTGCTGTTCTGCGAGCATTATTAGCTATATGATTTCAGATAAAAAGAAAACAACAGGAGACCCCCCCTGGGAATGCTGCCATGAAAGCACACTCCTGACACTAGTGCAGATCTGCTAATACATATTTGGACACACACAGAGGGAGGGAGGGAGGGATTACTTAGCAACCTAACCCTAAGCTCAGGATGGAAGAACCTCATTTTTGCTCATTCTGCTACAGACAGTTCCACTACCATGGCCACAACTGCTTACAACATGAAAGGAAGAAAGGCACAGGGAAGGGCCATATAGCTCAATGGGTACAGCATCTGCTTCACATGCAGAAGGTCCCATGTTCAACCCCCAACATCTCCAGGTACAGCAGGGAGAGCATCCCAGTCTGAAATCCTGGAGAGAGACTGCACTCAGTATAGACAACAATTAGCCAGATGAACTGACAGTCTGACTTGTTCCTAGGATGGGACTCCTCTGGAGTCAGGACAAGTGGAGAGAGAGAGAGGAAATATGGACAGACTGTGGTCCTTTCAGCTCCATAGAAGTCAGACATGGGCACGCCTGATATACAAAATTGAGCGGGCTTCTGAAATAGCAAATAGGGCTATTTACTTGTGCAGAAGGTTCAGATGGTGTAAAAACTGAGATGTTTTGCTTGCCATATGTGCTGACATAGCACACATCAGGTTGCATCCAGTGTTTCAACATACTCAGAGCAGATCCATTGAAATTAATGGACATAACTAATTTAGGTCCATTATTTTCAGTGGTTCTGCTCTTAGTAAAATTTAATTGGCTGTGGCACAATGTGTGTGTGAGTGTGTGTGTGTACAGAAGCTTTTGCTCTGTCCATATACAATTGTGTACACACACATTTACATAGTAGAAGGCAGGCACACTTGTGTAGCTTTCTTCAGTTAGGGATTTTGGCTTGATGTAAGTTTTACCAAAATGCCATCCCCTTCAGACATCAATAACATGTCAACAATTTACAACTCACGATTGGTGACAATATACTGAAACATGCCCAATTCTTTAAAAAGAAGAAGATTGATCTAATCCAAATACCAGAATTGGTTTTAAAAGAAATCAGTGGTGATATTCTTAGCTAGAGAGGTGATCACCCTGAAAGTCTTCCACAGCCTAACTATCAGGACAAGAATCAAAGTACTTTGCCAGCACTGGTGAGATTATCCTGACATAGAACACAAATGAAAAGAACAAGCTAAAACTAACAAGAGCATGCAGGAATTCTGAAGAAAGGTACTGCTTCTACAATGCCACAGTGAAATGTGCAAAACTGAAGTAGAGCCACACCACATAATACAAAAACACACACACTCCACAGCAAAATCAACAGCTACACCAGTCTTTTCAAGAAAGGCTTTGAACTGCATTGTCCCAAATGCAGATATTGTGTGACACACAGTTTACTCGAAACAGTGGCTTATTAAGAGACATGAACCAACTTCTTTAAATCCTAATAAATGTATGGTATAAAGAACTGACTTATTTTGGGTGGTAACAACTTAAGGCTTTGAAATGAAGGGGAGAGAGGGAAGTTTCATCAGCCTTCTTGATCCAAAAGGAGACAGCAATAAACCAGCACCCCACCTTGAGATTTCTGCCACCCACCCACCCACACCCACACAAACAGCTGGAGAGAGGGATGAAGAAGGAAAGTGAATCAAGTCAGGTGTGGCAACGTTTAGGGAGGTTAACCTGTCGCTTCAGGTGACAGAAAATACTCCAGAGACTGAGAGGAGAGCACACTGTGCCACGAACCTCTTAGTGCTCCCTAGAGGACAGGAATACCCCATCTCAGGTGTCTCAGGGAATCTATACAGACACGAGGGGGGGGCTTGCAGCGAGAAGCCCCTTCCCACTTTTTTTATAAAAAAATCATTTATCTAGTCTAAGAAGAGTTTGATGTAAAGTTGGGAGATGGGGGAGAGGAGTCCGGCCTTGGCTCACCCAGAGGACCAGGCATGCCCAGCCGCGACATGAAATGCGACCCCCGGCCTCCCCAATACAACCACGCCTGAAAGAACACCTGCAACTGTCCCTGAACCCCATTCTCTCGACTCGCGCAAAAAAATGACACGTGAGCTGTCCAGATTAATCAGAAGGCACCCTCAGCCTACCCTGTGCTCGGGCCACGGGGCGGGAAGAGGAGGACAGTCCCCACGCGTTGCTGAAGTCTCGGACCCCAACCGCCTCCCTCCAAACTCCCCCCCCCACCACCGTCCGCCAAGCAAAGGATATGGCCACTCCGTGATCCTCTTGGCATACTTGCGGATCACGTTGTCCTCGCTGAAGATGAAGAGGGAGCGGTTGACTGTGAAGCAGTTCTGCTTGACCGGGATGGGGTTGTAAATTGCCATGGTCCGGGCCCGCTGGGCCTTAGATTGTTTGTACACCTGGGGTCGCTGGCCGGGCTGGCCCGGGGGTCCTTGGCGGCTACTGCCGCGGCCTCCGCCGCCCACCACCGGCCCGCCGCCGCTGCCGCCGCCGCCACCCCCGCCACCACCTCCATAGCGGCTGGGTAGGTCGTCTCCGAAGCGAGCCATAGTGCTCCAAGCGCGTCGCAGCACTCCAAGCTGGCAGCCGAGCCGCGAGGAGGAAGACGCATCCCAGCGCCAGAGGAGGAGGGAGGGAGCGAGGCTCACTGGGTTGCCGCCGCCGCTGCTGCTGCTGCTGCGATCCTGGCGAAGGTTGGCTGGCTGCGGCTGGAGCTTGAAGGCAGCAAAAGGAGGAGGAGGCGGTTAAGCAGCTGCTGCTGCTGCCGCCGCCGCCGCCACGCAGGGGCGAGGCTCGGCGAGAAGGAAGGAGAGAAGGAGGAGGAGAAGGAAAAGGGAGGGAGCCGTCAAGCGATGGAGGTGAGGGCGAGGCTCAGTCCTTGGAGGAAGGGCTCAACTTCCCGCAACGGCCCTTTTCAGGTCTCGCCCGTGGCTGTTCGTAGGAGGCACGAAGGGCTTCCCCTCCCGAGGCTCAGCTTGCCTGATCCGCCGGCGCCCTGGGGTTATTCATTCTCTGTTTCTTTCTTTTTTGCACCGGCAGGGTGAAGAAGGAGAAAATCTTGTGCTTCTGGGGCTCTTCCCTTTTTTGCTGGATAGAGAAAACGGGGATGAGGCAGAGACGGGGCAGCAGCTGCGGCTGCCCCGCTCCTCCTCCTCCTCCAGGGCTTCCTCCGTCCAAGATCTCCAGCCTTGGAGAAAACGAAATGGAAGCGTCAAGAGCAACCGGTTTGTGAACCTCGCCCCTCCACACTCACACACACTCGCACACACGAGCGCACAAAAAGCCCAGGCAGCTGACTGCCGGGTAGCCAATCACCGGCGCCTACTCCACCCAGCGCTACAAGGATTCCCAGCCAAGCCCCGTATCAATCAGCAGGGAGGGGGAGAGGAGGGGAGACGCCCCTTCCCAAGGGCTTGGTGTCCAGAAAAGGGGCGGATTGGGCTGGCTGGCGGGAGTGGGTTGCTAACGCTTACGAGCAAAGCGCCAGGCTTCTAGGCATTTTCAGCCTAAGCAGAGAAGGTGGTTGATGAGCTCTATTGATCGTAGGAGAGGAGAAAGTGTGGGGCGAGCGAGCGGGGGGGCTGCGAGCGTGTCGGGTTCCTGGCTTACTTGTTAGACCGGGCGCCAGGGAGGCGTCCCGCCAACGTCGGTGGCGGCGAAGTTCATTGTGCGAGAAAAGAAAGGCAGGCAGCGAGGCGGCCGCGTTCCTCTTGCGCTAGGAGCTGTCCAGGTGCTGAAATCAATGTTGGAGGCGCAAGCCAGCTCTGCAGGGTAGCTACATTAGACAAGAGTGGGATATCGACTCAGTTTGGGCCAGTGCTGTCTGCGATTTCGATTAGCAACTACTCCCCAGAGTCTCTCAAGATGAGGGTCGCCTTCCCAGTGGAGTCTGGGCTTGAGGGAGAATGGGGCACTGCCCGACCAACCTCAGCCTGCCCTCACCTGCTTTCCTTATTACAACCATCATAGACTGGCTCTGCCTCTCATTGGCTCCCGCTCCACCTTCTGTTGCCTCCCTGACTGCACACCCACCATTCCCGATAGGCACAGCCACCCTCCCTTCCTCGTCCTGCCTAGGCAAGCTCTGGAGCTATTTCAGTGGTCCACCTGAGACTCTCATCTTAAAAGTCTGCAGGCAACGTTTGTCCTGCACAGAGGAGACCCACTTTAATTAATTGCCATAAGTTAGTCGTACTCAGTGGATCTATTCTGAGTAGGACTAGTGTTGGAGACAACACAATGACAGCCAGATATTGTTGGACTCCAACTCCCATCATCCCTGACCACTGCCCATGATGACAATTGGAAGGCACTGAGTGGGCTACCATTGGGCCAAGGGGTTGCCTGGCATGCAACAAGAGACCCACCTTCCACACATGCAAACAGAACAATGTCCTTCTGTTTCAAGCTGCTGAAATAAATTTCCTTTCCTCCTGCTTGGACCACCTTCAGAATTGTGCATAGGGCAAAGAGATAAGATACAGCCCAAGTTAGTTAGTTAGTTATTTTAGAATGCTTGAATGATGAGTTTTTAAATTAATAGCAACTATATAACTGCAAGTGTATTTGCAGGATTCATCCAAGATTCCCTCCACAAAGCTACAATTCCCAAGAAACTCAGAAAATTATAGCTGTGTGAAGGGAAACTGGGGTCTCCTGGCAACTTTCAGCATCTTTGACAAACTACACTTCCCAGGGTTCTGTGGGGGAAGCAATGACTGCTTACAGTGCTATCATAGTGCAGACGGGCCCCAAGATTTCAATCCTATACATCTGAGAGTGAGCCCCATTGAACTCTGTGGAATTTACTCCCCCCCAAAAAAATTTTTTTATTAACAAGCCAATCAAATCACATTAATTCCAAATCACATTAATTCCAAATTACACAGCCAAATTTTTAATTTTTTGTTGGGGGTACCCATGCTTCGAGCTCAGAAAGGGATCCAAACATCTCTCTTGCTGCTGCTTTAATATTCACAGTTCTGTCCAAATAATATTCATAGTTCTAATCAATCTTCTCTTTATTATTTTCCTCCTCTTTTTGTTGTTGTCATATATTCCTTTCTTTGTGACCTCTGGTAGTCTCCACAAGCGGGTTGAAAACAAATGTGGAATTTACTTTTATGTAGGTATGTATAGGACTGTGCTTTCATGTTGCAATCCTTTGTGCACGCAAGTGAGAGCACAGTATGTCCCATTTAACTTGGTGAGGCTTCTGAGTATTCATGGATCAGCTTGCACTGATGATTGTATATGATTCATTGATTTATGGCTGCAATCCTCACTTACCTGGGAGCAGGCCCCATTGAATTCGACAGGACTTCCTTCTGAGTTGGCATGCATAGACTTGCAGCTTGAGGTATTGATAAAATGGGAGTTCAAACAGATTACAAATTAAAATATATTAGTTTAAATATATTAATAAAATATATTAGTTTTCCCAAACTGATAAATTCAGTAGGAAAGGGAAATTAGAGGGAGGCACATTCAGCAGAAAGAACAATGCAGTAAGCAGTGATATGTGCATGACTCTGCAGTTTTTTGAAAAATAACTTTTTTAAGCTTATGGGGATATTCCTTATGGCACTACTGAAACATACTGATTGCACTCCCTCATTTCTAGATCTATGTTTGTAGAATGCTCACATCAAGAATTGGCGGTGCCCTTTTGTTTCACAGATTGTTACTGCTGGTTCAAGTCCAATGCCAGGTGCTGGAAGCATAGGGGCCGACTCCTAGGGGCCAGGGGGCTTCGGTCCCCATAATAAAATATTTGAGTGGGCCAGGCCTCCCCAAAGTTGATAGGTATTCCCATTCAGATTGTGTGTGTGCGCTGTGTCATGAGATGGATTGTGTCAGGCAGGGCTTTCCTGGGCCCCCACAATATTTTATTCAAGTTGGCACCCCACATGGGAAGCCTCGGGTTGAGGACCAGATGTGGCCCTCCAAGTCTCCTCCTCTGGCCCTTAGGTCTCTCCCCTCCAAAACACATTCCCTTCCCAGGCCTCATCTGACCTGTTGTGCTTCACATTCTCCTTGAGGGTTTTTGCCTGACTGGAGCGTGTTCTTGCTTGCTTGCCTGGATGGAGGGCAGGTAGCTTACTGTATGAAAACAGTACAAAAATTTGCCTTCATTGCTCAACCTACTTTTGCCTCTACCCCCACCCACCAGTGACGTGTGGCCCTTGGATTGTTGTCTAGAAGAGAATATGGCCCTCAGGATAAAAGGGGTTCCCAGAACTGCCATAGGCAAAGGCAAAAGTCAAAACAATTGAATTGAATTTTACCCTTCCAAAAGGGATATTTTCATCTCATTCTTCGATACTTGGTAATTATGTTTTTGGCTTTCTTCCCCTCCCCCCCCCCCCCCCCGATTTTAATGATTTCAATTTCTCTGTGTTTGAAGATTTGTTTGTTCTCAATCCATTGTGTTTGCTGCTGGTTCATGTTTTTGTGATTAGTCATTAACCTCTGAGCAAGGAGTATAGCTTTTCAGCATAGACTATTGTCTTTCATGTACATCTATATTTTTTATTATTTTCCTCCTGTGAGAAGGCTGATTGCTAGCTCACTAAATACATTCATTAAGCCAGCATCTAACCCTGGGGCAGCCATTTGTCACCTAACAAGCTGATTCACAGTGTGCTTCAGTAGCTCAGAATGATCTGGCTCAAACTCTGGAGCCCAAAATGCCACATAACAGCAGCTAGAACAAAATAGAAAGTAAAGTGTTGATCTATTGTTCTTTAATTCCCAAATTACCCCACCTAGCTACAAAACTAAAGATTAAGCCACTCATTAATTTATAGCAAGAGTGAGGAAGCTCACCCAAACGTGGCCCTCCAGGCCCCTTTACCTGGCACTCAGGTTTCTCCCCAGACCACACCCTTCTTCAGCCATACTTCACAGATTTTTGCCTGGCGTCACAAGTGTTTTTGCCTGGCTGGAATACACCTTCGAACTCTGATGACAACTCTTGCTTGCCTGCAGGAATGATAGAGAGGTGTGTGTAGAACTAGTCTATCCTGCAAAGGCAAAATAAGTATTCATTGTCCCATACGGTACTTTCGCCCCTGGCCATGCCCCCCAATGTATGTGGCCCCCTAGAAGGTTGCTCAGAAGTGAATGTGGCCCTTGAAATGAAAAAGGTTCCCCACTCTTGATTCATTAAGGCCAGTATAATGAACTCAGTTGCTCATACTAATACTACACATCATCATCCCTATCCCTCAGGGCCAGCCCACCCATGAGACAAGGTGAGGCGGCCACCTTAAGCAGTAGAATCCACAGGGGTGGCAGATCCAGCCTCCAATGAATGCCAAATTGCCCGCTGCTGCTGCTGCCACGGTGCCAGTGTCAGCTGCAACACCATTCCTTGAGGGCCAGATCTGCTGCCTCCTTGGCAGCCCCTGCTCCCAATACCACCTCTACAGTGACCTCTTGGTGAATAGGAGGCAATGCTGGTCTCTTCCCACCCCATTCCCACATGTTTGTCTTTATTTATTTATTTCCCCCATGTTTCTGGTGTGCGTCGTCACTCCCCTCTTCTTCACTGGTGAGGGGTGTTTGCACCATTTTGTGGTTTGACTCAGGTGCCAAACTGTCTTTGGCTGGCCCTGCCATCCCTTCTATTTCCAATGTTCAGGTTTTGAGTGCCAGTGATTTTGTAGAAATGGCACCGCACATCTTTTTTGTAAACAGCTTTTTTTAATCAAGCAGTATAAAAATCTTATGCAATAAATAAACGGGTGAGCACCAACTGGGCAGCCCCCAAAACGTAGCATCAGCAGATTTTGGGGAATACCAGTGTTCAGAGAACTGCACAAAATAAATAGGGGGAAAGCCCTAAGCAGTGGGGGGACTATGTCTGCAATGCGCCTGATTTCAACAAAGGGGCAGAGCATATAAAGGTCTCTGAATGCTTTGGGCTAGTGATAATTGGTTCCATTTCTATTCCACTCCTGTATCCAAGACGTTCATGGAGTTCTTATTTTACTTAAGCTAGGCTGAAGAGAGTGACCTGCCTCATGTCACCCAGGTTTCCCCATTCCAAATTCAGCAATGATTCAGGAGCTACTGTCGTCTGGAACTCTAGATATACCACATTTTTGTACACCTTACTTTGCTGCCAAGATAGACCCACATTGTGGTTTACAATTAAAATCCAAACAAGGTTACAATGTTATTGAGGATATGTACATAGGTGGGTATGGAGGCTTTCTGGTGCCAGGCAAGTTGGTGATGCAGTCCAGGTTCCAGTTCCTCCCTTCAAGAGTGGGAAACCTGTGTCCCTCC